TGTATAATAACATTTATTATACCACTGATTGATAACATGCTGCAGAATATAATATTATATTATATTAAATTATAATACTACAATACATATAATTTATATACACAATTTGAAATATAAAGATTTATAATATATATACTATTTTATTTTTTTGAGAGTCTACAATCATATGATCCTGTGAGTGCGATGCGTGGCGTCAGCCTCAGCTCACAGGCAACCTCAACTCCTGGGCTCTAAGCGATCTCCTCCCTCAGCTCCCGAGTAGCCTGGGATACAGGCCCAGCGCCACCCATCGCCCGGCTAATTTTTTCTATATATTTTTAGTTGGCCAATTAATTTCTTTCTATTTGTAGTAGAGACGGGGTCTCGCTCTTGCTCAGGCTGGTTTCGAACTCCTGACCTCGAGCGATCCTCCCGCCTCGGCCTCCCAGAGTGCTAGGATTACAGGCATGAGCCACCGCGCCCGGCCTTGAAATATGTTTTTCTATTGAGTTTAGTAAGTTAAAAAGACTTGTGGTTTCTTTGGAATGTCCATCTAATCTTGAAGTTTTCAGAAAGCATATTTTAATTCACTTGATTCTTTTTGAATTACTATCCACACGCTGGCTTTTCTCTGCGCACATGCAATCTGTTACAGCCAGGAATTTGGCAGTTGTGTTTTTCACAGTAGATACTAAGTTAAAAAGACCATTTAAATGGAAATAGATCAACTACACAATGAAGCTAGGCAATGAAAAACAGCTCAATGTATCCTGGGGATTTTTTTCCAGACAGGAAACAAGAGAATCCGATAACTTATATTTCAAAGGCTTCATAACAATGCACATTTCTTTGTTTTCACTGAGTTCTATATTGTATGAGTTTCCTGTTGCTGCTATAACAAATTAGCACAAGCACTACACATTTATTCTCTTATACTTCTGGTGGTCAGAAGTCCAAAACCAGTTTCTCTGGGCTCAAGCCAGGGTGTTGGCAGGGCTGATTCCTTCTGGAGGCTCAGAAGGGAGAATCCTTTTCCTTGCTTTCTGCAGTTTCCAGAATTCCGGAATTCCTTGGCCTCTTTCCCCACTGTCAAAGAGCATCACTCCAATCTCTGCTCCTGTCCTCACAATGCCATCCCTGCTGATTCTGTCCCTTCTCACAAGGACCATTGCAATGACAGTGGCCTACCCAGATAATCCAGGAACACCCCCTGCCTCAAGGTTCTTAATCACATCTGCAAAGTCCCTTTACCAGATAAGATAATATTCACAGGGTCCAGGGGTCAGGAGATGGTTCAGTCTGCTACACATTTCAAAAAAATGTCTTTAAATAAACTTTTGGACCAGGCGTGGTAGCTCACACCTGTAATCCTAGCACTTTGGGAGTCTGAGGCAGGAGGATCACTTAAGCCCAGGAGTTTGAGACCAGCCTGGGCAATATAGTGAGACCCCACCTCTACAAAAAATTTAAAAAATTAGCCGGGTGTGGTGGTGCATGCCTGTAGTCCAAGCTACTCAGGAGGCTGAGGCAGGAGGATCACTTGAGCCCAGGAGTTTGAGACCAGCCTGGGCAATATAGTGAGACCCCACCTCTACAAAAAATTTAAAAAATTAGCCGGGTGTGGTGGCGCATGCCTGTAGTCCAAGCTACTCAGGAGGCTGAGGCAGGAGGATCACTTGAGCCCAGGAGTTTGAGGTTGCTGTGAGCTATGATGACACCACTGCACTCTAGTCCTCCCAACAGAGCAAGACCCAGTCTCCAAAAATAATTCATTTGTGAACTATATATTCATTTGTGAACTATATACAAAATACACGAACAAGAGCAAGGATGCCGTATGCTTACAGCACATATCACCTACACATGAATCTCTAGAGAAAGCTTCATGCTATTAGGAGCATGAGCTTTTATACCTCTAGCTCTACTCATCCATATGCAAATATATTCATTCAAAAAAGAGAAGGCAGGAAGGAGGAGGAAAATATAAACAGCAGGGTGGGAGTTCTAGGACAGAGAGAAATCCAATATAAGTATTTTTCTCTCTAAAAAAGAGCTCAAAGCATCATCCTTTTAGTAAACATATATATTAATACTGCAGTAAGCATATATATTAATACTGCAGTAAGCATATATATTAATACTGCAATAAGCATATATATTAATACTGCAGTAAGCATATATATTAATACTGCAGTAAGCATATATATTAATACTACAGTAAGCATATATATTAATACTGCAATAAGCATATATATTAATGCTGCAGTAAGCATATATATTAATACTGCAGTCCCTAATCCTCAGGCTGCAGACTGGTACCAGTCCAGGACTTGTTAAAAACCAGGCTGCACAGCAGGAGGTGAATGGTGGGAAAAAAATGGATGAAGCTTCATCTGTATTTACAGCCGCTCCCATCACTCGCATCACCGCATAAGCTCCGCCTCCTGTCAGATCAGCAGCTGCATTAGATACTCAGGAGCACGAACCCTGCTGTAAACTGTGAGTGTGAGGAATCCAGGTTGCCTCCTCCTTATGCGAATCTATGTCTGAAGATCTGAGGTGGAGCTGAGGCGGGGATGCTAGTGCTGGGGAGTGTCTGCAAATACCGATTATCATTAGCAGAGAGGTTTGTCTGCACGATATATGTAGTGCGCTTGAATCATCCCAAAACCATCCTATCCCCGCCTCCCCCAACGTGCAAAAAATTGTCTTCCATGAAATTGGTCCCTGGTGCCAAAAAGGCTGGGGACCACTATATTAATACATATAAAAGTAAAGGTAAATTTTATGTATATATAGTCATCTTAAGTACAGATGTTACATCAGAATGTCTTAAACTTCTGGCTTTTAAAAACATATAAGTTATCTCATCTGATTCGACCATGCAACAGACATTTTAGTTGGATACTTAGCATCATGCCAAGAACTGTTCTTGATCACAGGGATCCAAAGATAAATGAGCCTCCTCGAGGGCACAGGAGGTAACCAGGAACTGCACAGCTGTGACCGGCCACACCCCTAGGACCAGCACAACAAGTACAACGAACGTGCTGTGTGCAGTGCAGTGGGGAGACCCGCGTTTACTTACTGAACACTTGGGGTGCACTTGCTGTGTTCTAGGTGCTGCATTGAGCTTCACACAAATATTAATTCATTTACTCTTGTGATGATTAATTTTGTGTGTCAACATGGCTAAAGGCCACAGTCCCCAAATATTTGCTGGGGAGGCATTTTTTTTTTTAGGTGACATGAACATTTCAATCAGTAGGCTCTGAGTATAGCAGATCACCCTTCGTGGTACCTATTTTCTAGGTACCTTTGAAAAGATGAATTGATACAAAAAATATCTCCCAGTTGTCTTTATGCATGACCTTGAAAACTGACATTTGTTACTTGAAAACTGATGTTTTAGTATTACAAAAGTATTACTAAAATATTGCTGAAATATCAGTTACTTGAAAACTGATATTTTAGCATTACAAAAGTATTACTAAAATATTGCTGAAATATCAGTTACTTGAAAACTGATATTTTAGTTACTTGAAAACTGATATTTTCAAAGCTTGACTTTCAGGGGCCAGGGCAGCAGGGTGGAGTTGGAACCCCCTTGCTATCAAAATCCTCGGCACGAGCACGTGTTCCGACCCTGCTGCCCTGAGTGGAAACTGTTGAAACTGACTTAGAAACGCCTTTTAAAAGTTTTATACTTTTGTATATTTTGTAACCCAACGATTCCATTTTCTCCCCGGGGAAATAATCATGGCTATGCATAAAGATTTAGCTACAAAGGTTATTTGTTAAAGCATTGGTTAGAATAGTAACATTTTCTTTTCTGATTGTAGAACTGAATTATCATCTATCTATAGAATGGGACACTACCTACTCATTAAAATTGCTCCTGCAGAATAATAATGTTACGGAGAGATGTTCATGCTATACTCATGATTTAAAAGCATGTTATAAGAACAGTACCGAGCGCATAATCCCATTTTTGCCAAACACGTTTTATGGAAGGCAACCTCTAAGATGGCCCAAAATGACCCCCCCACATCTTGGAAAGATGGAAAGAAATGGTGGCATGCCCCCCACATGGAAAGAAATGGTGGCATGCTGCTTTTGAGATTATACAAGATGATGACTTCCAATTGGGCACTTGTGCTTTTGAATCTTTATCTTGTTTTTCATTTGCTCTTAGATCACTTGCTCAGGGGAAAGCAAGCTGCAATATTATTAGAAGGTCTACAGAGAGGCCCACCTGAACCTTCTGGCCAAGAGCCGTGGAGGAACCAAGGCCTGCCCCAAACCATGCAACGAGTATGGAAGAGAGCTTGCCAGCCCCGGCTGAACCTGGCTTCCGATGACCTGGGCCTTGGCTGACAGCTTGATGGCCACCTTGCAAGAGACCCTGAGCCCCACCCACCCAGCTCAGTCACGCTGGATGTCTAACCCCCAGAAACCAAGCCGACAGGAGACTGCATTGCTGTTTTAAGCTGCCAAGTTTGAGGGTAGTTTGTTACGCAGCAATCGATAACGAATACATACGTGCATAGTGAAATGACCAGAAGGACAGAGTTCAAAATAGACTAGTGGTTTTCTCTAGGTGGTGGGATTTATGGCTGATTTTTATTTTCTTTGTTTTGTACAACGTTGGCAAATATCATTTTTTCCTTTTCCAGAAAGCAGAAAAAGAAAACCGCACAACCAAGAGCAATCATAGGAGCTTCTGAAGCATAAAAGCATAAGGGAGAGCCCCTTTTAGCTCTGATAGCCCTTAAAGATTCAAGTATAGTAGCTGAAATGTGCAAAACAAAAGCAAAAAAACAACAACAAAAAGGAAGTCCCAAGAGAAGGCCTGAACGCACAGTGGGGGTGGCTCTGCCCACTCGTAACCACGCAGTGTGCCGTGAGCAGCAGCCTTCACCAACTTTAAGGAAAGAAGATTTGCAAAAGCTTCTTAGAAGGAAACCGAACAGCAGTGAAGTCATCTGACAGCCAGTGGTCTGCACAGAACTCGCGCTTACCCAGCTTCTGGTCAAACCGCCACGCCGCGACATAGGCATTGTGCCTCAGGCTGCTCTGTGTGGCCAGGGGCACGGTGACATAGATGGGACCATCCACCAGCACCGGCGTTCCATTACCGCTGAGCAGGTGGACGCTGACAGCTGTGACCGGGGTCAGGTCGTGCCTGCTGCTGTTTCCTAGAACGAAGAGGCATTCTCCGTCACACGCACAAAGTACCCACACGGGGCTACCGTGACCAGATTGTCGCCGCTGCCGGTTACTGAGCACAGCACCTCCTACAGGCCAGGAACTGCGTGAAGCACTTTAGATATATCATCTGCACCACAACCCAATAAAGGCAGGTAAAACTCCCATTTTACACAGAAACAGGCTCACAGTAATGGTAGCTGCCTAAAGGCATGTGCCAATTAGTGGTCAAGGTCAAGTCTGCCAATTCCAATTACATTATTGTGCTTCGCTTTCAAAAGGGATCTCAAAAGGGAAGGACTTCTCTATAATGGGAGATGAAAGTGTACGTGGAAATCACTGAAAATAACTTCCACACTAAGTGAGCCCCAGTGCACGTGTTAATTACTTGGCAGATTACCACGTGAAACCAAATGTTTTAGAGTAGAGATTGCTTTTTTTTTTTTTTTTCTAAATAGTAAATTTTTTCAAGGACTGCTTCATTCTGCTCAAAAGTATCCTATTGAAACTTGGACTTGAAATATTTATGAGTTATTTTAGTTGCCATTGTTATTTTGGTCTGTTTAAAAGGAATTTAATATATCAATTATTTTCCATTAGAGGCCTTTTGTCCAAGCCAAAGCTTTAATGACTGTCTACAGATAAATTAGACAATGCTTATGAGAGCGATATTTATGCACTTAAGCAATCCATTTCAGATCTTTCTCCAGTGAAATGCTGTATCACACAAAAGGTATTCTGCCATAATTTTACATCTTTCCTTGAACGGCATGACAAAAACACAGTGCTAAAAAAACGTAAGCTGTATTAGAACACAATCTATAGGATTTCCTATTCAGCTACTTACATACTTACCTACCAACCTACTTGAACTAATGCAAACCTCCAATTTGGACTAAGTTTAAACATTGAAAGCAAACCTAGTGAATTTCAGAGTCAACAATGAGTTACAGTTAAATCTCCATAGAGCAATTTCTACACAGCTAAGAACATTGTTACCTTTTAACATTCACACCCCTCTCTGTTTTTCAATGAAGGGAAAGGCACAGGAAGGGACATTTCATTGAAAGGTCTAAGTTGTAATCATAGATTCAAGTTCTGAAATCCTTTAGTTTGGCCATTTCATTTTAGGGTAAAGAAAATCCACACCCAGTATTTACTGTACTTCTGGTCAATGTATCTTGTGGATCCAGACATAAACAGGCCGGGTGTGGTGGATCATGCCTGTAATCCCAGCACTCTGGGAGGCTGAGGCAGGAGGATCACTTGAGCTCAGGAAAAATTAGCCAGGTATGGCTAATCAGTAGCTAAATAGTAAAAATTAGGTGGGTATGGTGGTGTGTGCCTGTAGTCTCAGCTACTTGGGAGGCTGGGACAGGAGGATCACTTGAGCCCAGGAGTTTGAGGTTGCTGTGAGCTAGGCTGACGCCACGGCACTCTAACCAGGGAAACAGAGCGAGTCTCTGTCTCCAAAAAACTAAAAAAGACAGAGAGAAAGACATGAAGAGACATGAACATGCCAATTGCTTAAAGGAGATGCAGCAGCAAAGCCAGGAGTAAGTACAAGGTGACACTCTGGCTTCTGTTAGAACCCCTCAGTGAGACAGAACTTAGAGCTACAGAGACATTAAGTAACTTATTAGACTGCATAAACAACTCAGAGATGATGATTTCCATTAGGAGTGCTGTCTTCTCCTATCCTACTTAGGCAGGATGCCTCAATAGGGCGGCAGCAGGTAGGTAGAGTACAAAAGCCCTAGAAATGGAATCTTCCTTCCCACAATCCTGCACATTTCTGGCCCAAGAAGGTGAGCTTCCAGTACCAGATCGGCCACTAACTGCCTGCACAGCCTCTGGCAAGTGACTTCACTCCTCTGGGGTCTGTATTTCTCATCCTCAAAACTAAGGAGGGTAGGGGTAGATGTCTTTCTGAGACTGTGGAAAGAATTATGCTTGGCTGGAAACATGTAGGAGTATGTACGGCATTGCAGAGTTGGGCATATTAATGGGAAACAATATGCATTAGGTTCATGTAATGTCATGTTCCTTTAGAAGTTCTGTAGCTGTTGGTAAGACACTGGGGACAATTACATCTGCTTTCTGGAAGCTTCTCTCCTTCCTCTGGGCTCCTGGAAGCTTCTGTCCTTCCTCTGGGCTCCGTTAAATGCCTGTTCCTCCTCTGTACCTTCCCAACAACTCTCCCTTTACCCTCTCGCATTCTTTAACCTGCAACGATTCGTACTTTGAAGGATTACATTATTTTCCTTCCATTCTTCGTCACGAGACTTCAGTTCTGCACAAAATACCAAGGTCTATATCTAACGAGGCTTTCCTTCCTGTTCCATCTGGAAGTTGCCTGGCTCCCGTTACGTCCGGATCAAGACAGGCGTCAGGCTAGAGCAGGGGGACGAGGGAGAAAGACCGCTGGGCCACAGGAGGGGACGAGCCACACCGTCTTGTGCCTGCCTCGTGGTCACTCGCATCACGGGAGGTCCCGCTCAGCTCAAACCTAGGGTTCTGTCTGGCTTTGCATTCTAGTACCAACCTTTTGGGATTGCAAGAAAACTTTGCACCTTAGTCATGTTGTTGACACCTCTCTGCATCTTCCTGGGGTTATCAGCGTAAGTCATGTTTTCAAAACCCCTTGGGAGTGTCACAGAACAGCTGTTCTTTCTTAGCAACATGGGGAAAACAGCATGATGCTTTCTGGCCTGCACGTGAGGAAGGCGTCCCTCTGCAAAGCCAGGAAGCTACGGAGCAGACGGACCGAGAAGAGAAGGGGGGAAGTGGCTGAAATCTCCACGTGGCTGCCTTTCTCTCTTTGCAACTCTGGAACGTCCCCCTCTAAACTGGATACCACAGCCTTTAAGACAATACAAGGAAAACCTCCTAGGGGGACCCTTTCCTTCCCCTTTGCAGCCCCCCCTCTGTTTCTGCCACCTTCAGTGAACTCCAGCCACGACCTGTCATCTCACAAAGACACATCCAGGCCAGACTCTCCCTCCAGGCTGAAATCACTTAGATGCAAAATCTCTGAAATCTCTTAGATCTCTTAGATGAAACCTTTTATGAAACAGGAGGCAAGTAACTGGGAGAAAGACAAACTGACGTTGGAGACAGGTGCCGAGCTGGTGAACCAATGGGGTGTCTACACTCTGGGGAGCCCACGCCCCAGACCCCAGGGGTACATGCAGAGTACTCTGGGCTGGACCCCTTCCCTGCTCAGTCTCTGATATGCTCTGATCCTTTCTAGGTCAATCTGTCAGTGGAAGAGAAGTTTAACGTCACCTTCCAAAGACCTTCTCTCTCCTCTCTGAAATAACGGAACGATTTTCAAATAAAACAAACCCCTCTAAAATCAATAGTCCTGTGTCTTTGTGTTCTTCTTGCTCCAGTCTTCTCAGGTTGCATGACTTACTCCAGAGCTATTGGAAGTGGGGCACAGAAAAAATTAATGAGCTCGGAGGATGGAGGTTGTCTCTCCAAGTTAGGGTTTTTATCGGTCTTGCTGCATTTTGTCCGGGAGACTGGATGGAGGTTGTAATATTTTGAATGGGACTTCTTCATGCTCCCTGGGAAGACACTTTCCTCCCAGGCCTGCACAGTTCAGGTAAAAGTCAGTATTTTTTCCCCAATAACGTTCACTTAAGGTGACTACTATGCATCTGTCTGTTGACAAATCACTAACACATTAATCACAACACCAGCACACAAAAATAATAAGAAGAAACGTTTCAGAAAATGGTACCAAGGAAGGGAGAAATGGGAGTTGAAAATCACAAGGTCACCTTCACATGTAAACAGAAACTTACTAACACGCTACAAAAGGGATCAGACGTTTCAGGTTTAAAACCTTTTTCAGCATAACTGGTTTATGTACAGTATTGGAAAATTAACCGAAATTCAATAAAAGTGTCCCTAGGAAATGCAGTAACTTGCCTTGCAGGATTGAACCCAGAACAGCTTCAGATTTTGCATTTTTAAGCTGTGACTAAAGTGTGGGAGAAAAGAGGAGGGGGGAAGACAAAAAAATAATTGAGGACCCTAGAATCCCGGCACCTTTTCCACCAGGACGACTGGGGCCACCCTAGCGCGGAGGGTGGAATGTCGCATGGGAATGGGGGTGCAGGCTCACGTCTCCAGCCCTTCTCTGATAAGGAAATGATTACGTATTTTCCGGCTGGTGGCTTTGGGTGTCTCTGATCTTTGAGCTGCATGTGTCATGTCAGAACGGTGGGAATGATGGAGATGATTTAGAGACCTGTCGGAAGAGGATTCCAGAGCCACTTCAAAGCCTGGCCGCTTTGAAGGCAGGGAGGGCAGGCGCAGAGAGAGAAACCACGTGAGCAAAGTTGGAAGGCCGTGGGTGGCAGAAAGTAGTGCTCCCCATCCCGAGTGCTCCCCATCCCGAGTGCTCCCCATCCCGAGTGCTCCCTGTGCCTGTGGGGTGGGATGGAGGTGTAGGGCCACCCTGTCCCTCCTGGCTACAGTGCATGATGGGTGGGGTCGTGGGTCTCTGCCGGGCCAGCCACTCCCCCAACCGCACATTCCAGGAGCACATGGGACAAGGCAGAGGGCAGAGGCCAAAAACCCACAAATCTGATCTTATGCTTTGTGAAAAAAAAAAAAATGTTACAATCTCGACTATAAGAACCTCTCTGAATTGAATATGCTTAGTCCTCCAAAGGAGAGCCCAGAGAAGGTGCTCGGGGAAATTGGTAAAAGCAGAAAGGTTCAAGGAGATCAAAGCATCAACTGCGGTTCTGCCTGGGTGCAGACTTGAGTCCCTAAACGCACTGACGTAGGGCAGCGCAGTGGACCTGAGCCTGCAGAAACAGTTCTCCTTTTGCAACTTTGCTGCCGTTCTCGCATGTAATGCGAACGCTCTCAGCCATAGCTGAAATCCATGCATAACGATTAAAACACCGAAGCTCCCCCACCTGAGAAAGAGAAGAGACTCAAATTACCTGTTCCATTCCCGTCTAATCCTCGCAAATAAGGAAAACTGTCCACCTCTTGCGGGGAGCTGGCGGCCGTGAGAAACGCGGTCAGGTCACTGTAGCTGGTGTTCTCTGGCAGCCGCAGGGCCCTTCTCTGGAAATGGACTCGGGGCTGCGGCCGGGCACCTGCAGAGATGAACCTCTGAGTTACCTCCCCAAGGAGCAGTTTCTGTTTTTAGAAAATGCAAAACCAGGAAGTGCGGGCTCTCGGGTTTCAGCACGCCTCCCCACCCCGGCCCTTCCCACCCAGCTCCCCACCCCCCTCCACGCAGGACACGGAGATGTGACAGCATGCTATTATGGCGGAGGAATAATAGCCCATTGTCACATTTGTTTTGACACAGGATCACAGGATGTTATTTGGGTTTTTAACAAAAAGCTTTTTCCAAGTTCTAATTGTCGAGCAGCCTTTTCCCTGCCTGTGGATTGGGGTGACCGTTTTTTTTGGGAAAGTCCGAGTAACTGAACTGAGTAGGTGACAATTAGTCTCTTTACACAAACAATGTGAGAGGCGCTCTGTGATACTGCTACAGCCCCATCCTTAATCTCCCTGGTGACCTCGGGCTTAATGCCACAGACCAAAGGGAAGCAGAGCAAGGGGATTAAACGTGTAGACTTGAAAAGGACTGTAAATAAGAACCCACCAGCCACGAACCCTTTCCTTTCTGCAGAACCTGCCACTGGGCATCCAGTCTATTCCGGAGGGGCGATTCCTACTTGTGACAGATTATGTCGCAGATTTTACGACAAGACTTTTGAAATGATGCAAAATGACGCTCCTCCACCAAACTCCTTTGTGCACAAGGGTGGGTTTAGCCAAGAGGCCCCCCGCCCACCCCCACTGCCCCCACAGTGTTTGTGCTGTCATCTGCAGTTTAACTTTGCCCCCAGATGTTGTTTTCATGGTCAAACCTGAACGTGTTCTTACCTAAGGCTACAGGGACAGTCACAAGACGTAAAGGTGCTGCGTAATGTTGCACAAACCCAGCAAAAACATTAAGACAGAAATCGTAGATCCCATCCCAGGCTTGAGACAGTCCCCGTTGCGCTTGTACTTGGCCGAAGGTGCCTCCTCCCCAGCCCACGGATATCCTGGTGCGACAGTCCTGCCCCAGAGCCGGTGGCCTTTATAGCCACTCTTGGGTTCCTTTTAACCCTGGATCAGAGAACTTATAAGGGGAGAATAAGCCTGTGTAGACATGTTCTAGAATAAGGGGAGTTTCAGAGCTCAAAGAGTCAAGTCGTCCAGGTCTCTCTTGCTACAGCCAAGGAAGCCCAAAGGACGTACACAGACTTATGTCGGGGGCAGGCCATCCTGGCTATGAATCGACTGCCATCCACCTGCTAAAAGTCACCGGCAAGGCTTGTCCAGGGCCTGTCCACTCTGTGAAACACGAGGCCCGGGTTTGGAGCCTGCAAGAGCAGGTGCCCGAAGTCATGATGGTCCCATCTAACTCTGGTCACCTCTGCTGAAACTAACCGGACACAGGCGTCAGTCCGGTTCCAGACCATTGATGCCCTTTCTTTACCCCTAACAACCCCAGGGTGACGCACTCGCCTCTGGGTATCAGTATCTTTGTCATTCTTTTTCTCTGCCCTTTTCCTTCAGTTTGACGGAATACTGACGTCTCATTCCTGCCACCTCCTCATCTGCAGAGAGCTCCCCATGAGTGCCTTGCACCCCGCGGGGAGCCCCCCGTTTCCAGCCCCTGTCCCCAGCGTGGCCACGCATGCCCCTGGCTTCCTTTGGTCTCCTGTCCTCTGAGATTGAAAGTCAATGTCAGGCCTGTCTTTTCTCACCCTCACCCCCGACGACATAACGACACTCGTTGCTTCTATTATTATTTTTCTCAATGATCGGGAAGCGCACGTCCTCTGCCTGGTGTTACTCAGTGAACATCCCTCTGCAAGGGCCTGGGTTTCCCACCGTGGAAAAGCACAGAACTCTACGAAAACCAAGAAAAGAAGGGCGCATCTGAATGTGACAGGGGGAAGCCGGAGCTTGTGTTCGGGAGGGACAAGGCAGAAAGCAGAATCGGGGCTGGTTACCCCAGAATGAGGGTGGGGTCCATGCACCTTTGAGCCTCAGGAAGAGCCCCCTGTGCGACACACAGGGGCTGCAGACTGACGAGGGGTGGCTTGTAGGGAGCCCAGGACATGCAGCCCAGCCGGGCCTTGCGGGGACTGACCTGGGACCAGAGAGCCACAAGCCCAGGCTGCTCTCCCCGTTCTCGGGGCTCCCATGTCTCATCCCGACCCTCCCCCATGTCCCTCTCCCCGTTCGTTCCCTAGCAGTGCAAGCGTTTCATGCATTTCCCTCGGACTTAACAATCCCCTCCTTGTCCCCAACACCCAGTTCTGATTCCAAGTCGCCACCATCATGTTCCCTATTATCTCGCTCAAGTGCCAAGACTGGCCAGTCTTCCCTTACCCACATTTCTTGCATCATCTTTCCCTCCCTCTCCGCATCCAGCAGCCTACGTGACCTTACATCACCCCTTGTCTCGACTGTCACGGAAGTCTCCTAAATGACCCCTCTGCTTCAGTCTTTCCCCTTCCTGCTTTTCATCCACCCACACCTTGACTGTTCTAAGACACCACGGTGACCATGCCCATGCCCTGCCTGGACACCGTTGGTGGATCTCTACCGCTTACCGAAGTAACAATGATGACAAGAACAACAACAAAAATGCGTAGACCACCGCAGACCCAGACTGCTACAGCTACATCTCTCCTCTAAGGGAGAGGTGTACATCAGCACTTTACAATTTTCAAAGTTCCTATATTCGCTACTTAACACACACAACCACCCTGTGAAGAAGGAACTGTCTTCACTCCAGCTAGATCATCGTTCCTCAGCCTCAGCACACTCTTTGCATTTTGGGCCAGGAGATTCTTTGCCGGGGTGGGGGCTGCCCTGTGCCTTGTAGCATGCTCGACTGCATCCCTGCCCTCTCCCCACTAGGTGTCAGTAGCAGCCCCCAAGCTGTGACACCCAGACCATCTCCAGACGCAGCTAAAGGTCCCTGGGGGATAAAAATCACGCCCCCCCCCTTAATGGGGACCCACTGCACTGTCCATTCGGAGCAACCCCACGGCAATCCAAACAACACGTACCAACCATCCTCTCCATAGTGGGTACCGGGTAGGCGAAGGGAAAAGGAAAAAGCTGTTATTTTTCTGGAACTCAAGAGTAGACAAGGCATTTCTCTCTGCCTCTTTCTGTCTCTGTCTCTCTCCGCCTCAGTCTCTCTCTGTCTCTCTCTCGACCCATCAGATGAACGAATATGCTTAAAAAGATGCCAACACTCGGTTTCCGCAGGGCAGGATGAAGACGTCCAAGTCAATTTCAGAAGGTGAAGTTTAAAGAAAACCGAGGTTGCAGTGTGAGAAGGGAGGGCACTGGAGCCTGAGGTTGCAGAGGTTTTCTCTTCCCTGCCCCAGGGCTCCCTTCCAAGGTGCCACTTAGGCCTCTTAAATGGATCAATGTAGATGTCAGCCATTAATCTTGGGGATAACCGGTCCTGTCTCCTTCTCCCTGAACCCCAGTCAAAGGAATCTCTTCCTAGAGCTCTTATCACCTCTTGATGAGTTTATCACATCATCCTCCTTTTCTTAAACGTTTAACTCCCTAAAACATCAATAAAAACCCTTCCTGTGGGGGGAAAAAAAAAAGAGTGGAGAAGGCAGCCATGGAAATGGCTTAATTATCATAGTGTTTTATTTATTTATTTATTTTTTGAGACAGGGTCTTGCTCTGTCGCCCCAGCTAGAGTGCAGTGGTGTCATCACAGCTCACAGCAGCCTCAAACTCCTGGGCTCAAGCGATCCTCCTGCCTCAGCCTCCCGAGTAGCTGGGACTAGAGCCGTGAGCCATCACACCCGGACCATCATAGCGCTTTAAGTGCCAGAATAAGAGAGAAATGACAAAAGAACAAAATAAACGTCAAGAGAGTGACCCACTGCCCAGGAGAAAAGCAGTTCCCTTGGTGGTATCTGTGAGGGGCAGGCAAGAGGTGACAGCAGACATGAAAGTGTGGGGGAGGGGGGAAGGTCAGGTGGGAGTGGGGAGCTGAGCAAGCCCGTGGGAGCCACGTGGGGGCTGCGTGGGGGCCGGGGACCGCCCAGGAGGCTGGGGAAGGGCATGGCGAGGCCGGCTCAGGAGTCTGGTCTTGCGTGTGTCTGCGGGGGTGAGTCGGTAGCAGTTATTGCTTTGTTTCCACCCAATTCTGAGAGCAGGTGGCGAATGGCCGTGGGTGGAGACTCTAGTGTCACAGCGATGGGCCAGGAGGCTGCTATGAGATGGTTCAAGGGGGACAGGATAAAGTTCCAGGTGAAGTCGGCACAGAAGCTGAAAGCTATTTTTTTGGAATAAGAAGAGACAGTGGCAGAGAGACTCAAGAGGGCTGGACCAGGTGGGGACGTAAACCTGGGGGTTGGGGGCTTCGGGAAGGACAAGGAGGGCTTAGAAGGTGCGGGGGGTCTGGGAACTCTGGCTCTGTTGAACCATTATCCTAAGACGGTTCAGGCTTTCTTTATACAACAACTGTTGACGATAACAATACAATCACTTTCCTCATTTTCAAAATGCAAGCAATGCTGACCGCTAAGGCCAATCCCACCGAAACATGCATTTATTGTGCAATGATCGGTCCGTTTGCAAACATGCTGCAGAACCCTGCCTGGTCAGATGAGAGATCTGTTTTATTGGTGTTTAGAGTCAGAATGTACACAGATGCCACACGGTCTATCTGCAGAGCAGAACGCAAGCGGGCAGTGTTTGTATTTTTAACGAAAACTCAAAGTCGCCCCAAATTTACCCTCTATTTTATTTGGCTGGAAATATTTTTAAAGCAAAAACCTCAACAGAAACATGAAGTGTCCCCCTGATGAGGGCAATGGTCCCTCTTCCCTCCTCTCTCACTCTGTCCCCCACCTCCTACCGATGACCTTCATTCTTCAAAGCTTTTACTTTTGCATGATGTAAAACCAAACAAAGAGGTGTCATCTAATACCTCGTAGAATACATGCAAAGCTTCCTAACTAACTAAACTGTCTTCGTACTACCTACTGCTTTTTCTGGGACTGTCTGACACGTCACACCATCTAAGTAACACACTAAAATCCAAATGGCTTATAGCTCATGCATGTGTAAGCAGGCAGGAGTTTATTGTCTTTCTCCTCTGAATCTATTAAAAAAAAAAATAACAAAAGCAACTAAACATGAGCAGTTTGAGAATAAAAAGGTAGTGTATCACTTTTAAATTCAGTATTATATTGGTTTTGTAGATGGAACAGAGCTGCATGAATTAGACAGAGGCAAAGACCTACATGTGGCTTTCCTTCCAACAAGTAGGAAAACTTGAAACTAATAAAAGGATCCATTATTATTACTGTCAGGCCTCGACTCAGCTGAGAAATGGAATCAGTACAATTCAACATTATTGAACTCATGAAGTCTGGTAAGTTAAAAAATTAACAAAATGTAATTTTCAAAAGCTGGCATGGAAATGAGATAATAAAAAGGAAGATTGCTACTAGTTATTTACCTTGTAGATAAGTAAAATTTAAAAAAATAAAAAATAAATAAATAAAAGGAAAGAAAGGGTGCTCAGCTGGTTTCTGGTTATATAAAGGAGGCAATGATAGAATAGACTGAATAAATTAACTGTTAACAAAAACTACTTCCTTGGTCTTATTTATAATATGATCATTCTTCTTGCTCCTTAGAGAAAGAGCTATTCAAGTACTCAGTGTGTGTGTGTGTGTGTGTGTGTACATGCAGATACTACACTTATCTTAGTATTCACAATACAGAAGATAACTGACCACAGAGTAAGTGGTCTATATAGGAAGTGCACAAAACAGGTGGATTTTGTGTTTGTTTACGCAGTCATTCGATGAATTACTCTCTAGGTGCCTACCATGGGGAAGACATAGGGCTGGGCCCAGGGGGTCCTGAGATGATACCAACACAGTCCTTGCCCTTCTGGTTTTTAAATTTCATTGGGAGGTAACGTGTACCACCAAATACGGTAGCAAGGGAGGTATCACAGGAAGAGCCAGACCCCCAGCTGCTACTGTCTCTTGCTGTTAAGGACATGAGGGGCTATAGGGAGATGGACCCGAGGGAATCCAAGGACTGGACCCAGAGGGTGTCAAAGGCACATATGGTGGAACCGCCCTGGGCTCAGGGTGGCTCCTGAGTGACACATGGCAGGAGCATGTGGGTGTCACTCCAATGCTGTGCCATGAGTGTTGAGACCCGACTCATGTCCCGTCTGCTCCTTGCTGACCTGCTGCCAAGCATCTTTCTCTACTTACTCGTCCTCTGTGTTCTGTTCCCCCTGGTGCAACCCCAGGCCCAGCCTGCCCCTGGTGACCACTCAGCCATGATTCTTTCTTCTTCTGGGCTCTTAGATCAAGAGCTGCTGGCTCCAGCTGATTTCTTTCAGCCAGGTCCCACTCCCTGGCCACCCCATGGACTGGTTACTCCTGAGACAGGGACCCACTCTAGACCCGAGAGCCACGGCCTGGTGGGATGGGTGGGTCACAGGACATTCGTCCCGTAGCAGCTGGGGTTGAAGGCCAGGCGGTAGATGTCTCCCGCCTCCAGTGGACATTCGGGAAAGACCCCTGGCACACGTGCTTGCAGGCTGGCCTTCCCGTCCGGGGGGGCTCTGAAGATAGACCAGACGATGGAGTGGGATATCTCAGATGGAAAATAGACAAAGAAGTCCAGTTTGGCTAGAATGCAGCCTGTGAAGGAACAGAACACTTGGAAGGGACGGGGAGGCCAGACCACAGAGAGAGTGCTCAGGAAGGAGACTGGATTTTATTCTACAGGCCAACGGTGGCCATCAAGGGACAGAAAGGGCCGGAACTCAGCCTGGGAAGACTCACGTGGCAGTCCAGTGCCTGGCGTGTTAGGAAGGACAGACTCGAGGCATGAAGCCCAGCTCCAGCCCCAACAGAGACCAGGAGGAACAGCCCAGGGGCTACTGCAATGGTCCGTGCAGAGACCACCAGGCCCTGACTCGGGGCCTGGGCAGCTGGAAAGAAAGCCAGCGCACACAGGCCCAGGGAGGTGACTGTGCAGTGACCTGGGCTGCAAGGCCAGGCTCACGGCAACTGCACTCGACTGACAGAGTATAGAAGAAGGGAAGACGAAGGTCGTACGCAACTGCCACGTGGGCGGGTGACTGCTCACAGAGGGCACCTGCCACGATGCTGGGATCCTTCTCAAACCCCGTCTGAGCCACGAGAGGACACTGCCAGGCGTCAGGGCTGACAGCAGAGCAGGCAGCGAGGAGGGCGCTGGGCTTGAGGTTCCAGACCCTGCAGTTTGAACCCTCATCACAGACACCACGCCAAGGACAGCGCCGGTCCCAGGAAGAGAGAGACAGGAAGAGATTTTACATTTTCTCCTTTCTCATCTTAGTAAAGGGAAATGTGGGCACAATCGGTGTCAAAGGCGGCTGTGAAGGGGAAGCCACTGACGACCAGCACGCATGGCCCACAGGTCACGTGATGGGGGGGGGTGACGCAGGGCACCTGCCCCGTGGGAAGCCCCGTGTGCACAAACTTGGCAACCTCGCCCCTGCCTTGCCAACCAATGGTCACCTCCCCGATGACCGCAGCGGCCACCGAGGCCAGCGCCAGGGCACCGTGCAGCTGTGAGTGTGGGGAGTTGGATTTTATTCCAAGCACAATGGGAAAAGTCACTGCAGAACCGAAGGGAGGTGACTCGGTTGCTTTCGCTTGTGACGATGGCTTTGGCAAGAAAGTCAGTGGGGCGGCCAGTGAAAGAAAACCCGCGGCAGTGCTGTCTGGTGACACGGCGGTGTCCTGGACCCGTCAGGTGGCCACACAGACAGGGAGAAGAGCCTCAGCAAAACGATGCGATTGGAGGAGAGAAGACTCATCCCTGGCAGTTCCCAGAGTTTTGACTTGATCGACTCAGGTTGACGTTTGCACCGTTTTTGCGACCGACAGCAAAAACCAACACAGGCTCTGTGTGTACGTGTCAAACGTGAGACACCTGTTAGGCCCCCAGGTCTAGATGTCAAATTAGCAACTGAGGGAGCCCCATCCCCGGGGGAGGGTCCGGGCTGGAGACATGGAACTGGGCGCAATCAGCATCCCCAAGGCATCAGAAGCCGGAAGTCTCAATGAGATCGAGAGAAAGGACTAGAAAGAAATGTGGGCCCAGGACAGGCACTGGAGTCCCCGAGAAGAGGTGACCAAGGGGTGGAAGAAAGAAAATCTAGGCATGAAGTCGTGGCGGAGAGGGAAGGGAGTGGTGGCCGGGTGTCTCTGTTCCATTCAGGGGAGGGATCAAGGGGGGTGGAGAGGGAAATGTCCTCGGAGTTGGGACAACATAGAGGCTGTGAGTGACTCTGCCAATTGCAAAGCTAAGAAAAGAAATCCAGGAGGCTCCCGAGGCTGACGGGCACAGGACCCTGTGCGGTTCTGCTGGAAAAGGCCAGCTCTGCTCTCCCAGAGGGGAAAAATCAAAACTCATGGCTTTTAACTGTGCAGGCGACACCCAAATCTGTATTGCTATTCCTGTGTTCTCTCCCAAACTTGAGTCAGAAATGCTGCCAGACGCTTCTACTTATCTGCTCTTCAGATACATTCCCGAAGAGCAGCGGCTGCACGCGGGGCTCCTCCTGTCACCGCATAGCTACGAGGTCACAAGAGCGTGGACGGCAGTGGCCTCGTTGCACGTGGGGCTCCTCCTGTCACCGCATAACTACGCGGTCACACGAGCGTGGACGCAGTGGCCTCGTTGGCAAACGGCACACGGGTTTGGGTCCGTGGAGAATGATGGGTACACAGTGGGATTAAAGTAAAGAACAGAGTAAATGCAAAACGAATCTGACGGAACATTCAAAGCCAGGAAACATCCTCCTCTGGCCCGTGATTAAGATGCAATGAAACGATGCTCTCTGCACAGAATTTTGTCTCAGGTAAGCGTTCCCGGTTCTAACCCCCGTTACTGAGCAAAGCGCAAGTCCCTGGAACCTTCTGTGTGAGCTTCTCTGTGGGAGCAACAGGAGCCAGAAAGGGGTGCGGTCACATGTACGGACATCAGGACACACGGGGGACAGATTAAAAAAACAAGGGGACAGAAGCCACACTGTGTGCAGATTAAGCTTTAGAGGCAGTGGCTGGACTCGGACCCAAACAAGATCCAGGGACAGTGTCTCCCTTGGTGGGAGGAGACAGAGGGTGGGAAGATCCGGGCAGCCCCTTCTTCTGTGTCATACACTTAAACCGTGGTCCCAAAGGAAATAAGACTATAGCCAAATGACAGTGAATAGACAGTATGTCCCGGCTGTGGATAAATCCATCGCCATCTCCAAATGACAATAAGCGGGTCCCATATAAGATCTTAGTGGTTGGCCCCAAAGTGACCATCGGTTTCCTTTTTAAATATTAAATATACCCAAATAACTAAGAGGATACATTTCAAATGTCTCACCATTGTAAAAGAGGCAACAGATTTGTTAATTAGGGTGATTTAATCATCCCACATTGTACACATACAACATCCCACTGTACCCCAAAAGTGTATGCAATTATGATTCATCAAGCAAAAATAATATTAATAACAATAAAAATCAAGACAACTGTTAAACATACCTTGGAATCCTGATACTATCTGGACAATATCTTCGTACACCATCAGAGTGGCAGATCGTTCTGGGAGCAGGCCAAGGCTCAGTGAGGAAAATACTGTAGGGAAAAAGCGGACATGAGGGAACTCTGGCATTTAAACCTAAATGCCCACGCTCATCTTTTGGGTACTCTGCATTCTTTGCATCCGCTGATTTCAAACCCATCAATATTATCGACTTTTTGTATGATTAGCAAAATACCTTCAAAACACCCCCACAGAAGTATTGCAATTTCTCATATAACAAACTGTTTGCTCTGTAAGAGTCATTTTGTTTGTTAGAAGTTTCTAGCAAAGTACCTGAGCCTGTTCACATTCAGTATATCAAAAGCTATAATGTAAATACTATATGAGCATAGAATATACAATGTCAAGTGTCAACATTTAAGAGAGACTTTAAAAATACCTGGTTAGGTTCATGTGTGCCTCATGGTAAAAGAACATTGTCCCCAACCCTGAGAACAAATAACATGCTAGAAATTGTGCTACGTTAAACCTCTTAAGTACCTGAACTTCCAACTAAAAACTTCACAAAGCCTGCAAGTTTCTGGGTGGAACATATGAATTTAAGAGAAAAAAACAAATAAATCCATTACGGAATGACAATAATTGCTAATATTATCAAACCCCTTACTAACATGCCAGACATCATTCTAAGTGCTTTAATTGTGACATTTTATTTAAGTCTCAAAACAGCTCTATGAAGTTAATATGCCCATTTTACAGGTAAGGAAATAGGTTTATATACGAGGAAGTGACTTGTTCAATATTTAGCAGTTGATAAATGCCAGAAGCAGGATTTGAACTCTGGAATCTGCCCCTCACCGCTATGCAACATGGAAATGGGGCCCAGAGAGGCAAAGTGACTTTCTGGGGAAGTATCAGGAACTAGAAAGATCTAGTGCTGAGAATATCAATCCTTTGCCTTTGGTGCTGATGCTTAATAATGCCACAGGGGACCAGACTGGGGTGTTGGCCTGGCAGGTGACCTCTCTGTTCACTCACCCTCCACCCAGGCAGTTTCTTTAGCTGTTACTCTCTGCAAGGCCCAGGGCCAGATCCCAGGGTGCACCAGATAAATGCTGGAGGCAGCCTGTGCCTTCAAGGGTCACGCATTAGAAGGGGTCTAGACTCACAATAAATAGCTGTAGGACAAGCAGACTGTGGCAAGTACCAGGAGAAACATAAGAACACACCTTGGAGCTGCGGAAAACAGTCTGGCAGTTCCTCAAATAGTAAACAGAGAGTGATCCCACGATCCAGCCATTCCACTCCTAGTTATAACCCAACAGAACCGAGAACGTACGTGCAAACGGAAACTTCCATGGGACTATTTGTTGTAGCATTATTTATAATATGTCCAATGTGAAAACGACCCAAATAAATGTCTACCAACAGATGAATGGACACAGTGTGGTACATCCATGCAGTGGAATATTATTTATCCATAAGAAGGAATGCAGTACTGACACATGCTACAACATGGATGAACCTTGAAAACATCATGCTAAGTGAAAGACGCCAGACACAAATGGTCACATCTTGTAGGATTCCCTGTACATGCACATGGAATAGGCAAATCCGGAAAGACAGAGAGGAGATGAGTGGAAGCTGAGGCCGGGAGGGGTGGGAAACAGTGTATCATTGGGCATCCGATTTTTGGGGGTGATGGAATATTCTGGAATTAGTTACTGTTGGTCCCACAGGGAAGCCAGGCATAAAGGGAGGAACCCGAACTTTGAGAAATCCTGCATGACGTCCAAGTAAACCTTTTATCTGTGACCCTTTCACCCAATGGCGCTGGGCATTTGCTGGGCGGGAGAACAGGACAGGACTATCGTAGCAGATGCTGCCTGCAGGAAGCAGCTCAGCTCTCAACCCAGGCTAGAGCTCCCCTCCCTCCATGCTGTTCGAAATGCTGATGCCTGGGCCATCCTGCCCCACCCAGAGCTACCACGGGGCCTGCAGGCATTCACCAGGCCCCTAACACCTCCGTGTGGACCGGTATGGGGGCTCTGAGCTCTGAAGACACCTGTGATCATCTCAGAGAGGTACGTGATTCATGCGTTGTGTTCTGAAAACTCTTCTCACCTAAAATATTTGGTATGTCCATATATAAGGAGGTTGCTCTGGGAAACTGTTTCTCAAACCTCATTTCTTAAAGGGGAAAAGTGATTTCTTGCAAAGAGCCTGCAACAGAGGTACCTCCAGGTGCTTCCCAGAACAGAGAGCAGGGCTCATGGGACCAGTCAACCGAGTGCCCAGGGGGGTGGGAGGCAGCAGAGAGGCCATGAGTTCTTCGAGAACATCGTATTTTTACCCAACCTAGAACAGATGCTAATCAATGCCCAGAGGTTGTCTTCACACCCAAGTACACATTTTTTTTGTTTTTTTTTTTTTTAATTTTTTTATTTTTCTAGGACAGAGTCTCACTCTGTTGCCCAGGCTAGAGTGCCGTGGCATCAGCCTAGTTCATAGCAACCTCAAACTCCTGGGCTCAAGTGATCCTCCTGCCTCAGCCTCCCGAGTAGCTGGGACTACAGGCATGCACCACCATGCCCAGCTAATATTTTTTCTCTCTATATATATATATTTAATTGTCTAGCTAATTCCTTTCTATTTTTAGTAAAGAGGGGGTCTTGCTCTTGCTCAGGCTGGTCTCGAACTCCTGAGCTCAAACGATCCTCCTGCTTCGGCCTCCCAGAGTGCTAGGATTACAGGTGTGAGCCACTGCACCCAGCCCATGTTTATTTTTTCATATGCAGAGAGAAAGGAACATCTCATTCTACCTGGGAGAGGCAGGAAGACTTCTTGGAGCAGCAAACAGCCCAGCTGGGCTTTACAAATAGAAGACAAGCTTGCAGTGGACAGAGGTCAAGGAATAATGGCACAGGCACACACAGAGAAGGGAAAACACCAGACTCCTTCAGAGCATGACAAGTTGGCCAGACCACGAGATCAGGGAGGTAGAGGTGATCGGGGAAGGAGGAGTATGTCACCTCCACTCCATCCTGGGGCCAATGAAGGATTTTAGGCAGATGGATAACCTAACTGCATGCCTTCCTTGAAAGGGAAAAAAATCAACACATCCTCCAGGAACTACTACTGTTAAGGATGAAAAAGGAAATCCATCCCAAGAGCTCACAAGAATGCTCGTGCAAACATAAATGCTGTGCGGCACATGAGTTGTAAAGAATGTAACCTAAACATGTGTACCCCCGTAATATGCTGAAATACAAAACAATTTTTAAAAAAGAATGCATTTTTTAGTTTCAGATTTTCAGCCTGTTTTACAAGAGGCTCCCAGTTCTCCTCTCTTCCTTGCCCAGTTATGTGGTAAACCGCGAGTATTAGCCTTGACCTCCAAAAACTTGCGGGAGAACAACAGTTTATTCTGTTTCTCACACAGGGCACCCTAGATTTTGCTCATGTTTCCCGTTAGATTCTACTTAAGAGTCCCTTTATGGCATTAAAAAGGCGAGCAGAGTGAAATAAGCAAAGACACAGGAAGGTCCTTAGAAATTATCTGGGCTTATTAATTTAATTTTAGAAACAAGAAGCCCAGGCTCAGAAAGAGCTGATGGGCCCATGTGCGTGGGGCCAGCTGGGCGTGGGCAGGCGGGGACGTGAATGTCCTTCTGCCTCGCCCCAAACTCCTTCAATCAGATGACGACACCCCCGTTATTTGACTCCTTTAAGAAAATGGACATTATGGAAATGGTTTCTTTTTCTCAAATGATCATGTTAATGGCATCAAATCAACGTAATTAGAGTACAGTTCATCCTCATTATTTACAGATTCTGTATTTGCAAACGCATATACTCGATAGAATTTATCTGTACCCCCCACATGGATGCTCGTGGTGTTTTACGTGCATACCTTTGGTGTCAGCTCTCATCCTGGAAGTGTCTCTATTTGGGGACAGGCTTTTTGTTGGGGGATTTGTTACTTAAAATGGAAAATGGTTTGGCAATTTCGGAAAGCACTAAAAACACAGCACTATCATTCAATTCAGCGATCCCACTACCGGGTATCTATCTACCCAAAGGAAAAGAAGCCATTCTATCCAAAAGGTACTTGCACTTGTGTATTTATCGAGGCACTGTTCACAACCGCCAAGATACAGAATCAACCTAAGTGCCCATCAATGGGTGACTGGGTAAAGAAAATGTGGTAGATATATGCAGTGGAATACGATTCAGCCGTAAAAAAGGGATGAAATCATGTCTTTTGTAGCAACATGGCTGGGACTGGAGTCCGTTATCTTAAGTGAAACAACTCAGATCCAGAAAGTCACATACCCTATTGGGAGCTAAATAATGCGTATACAGGGACAAAGTACAATGATAGACACTGCAGACTTGGAAGGACGGGAGGGTGGGAGTGGGGTGAGAAATTACTTAACGCGTGCAACACACACTATTCAGGTGACTGCTGCACTAAAAGCCCAGACTTCACCACTATGCGCTCTATCCATGTCACAAAACTGCACTTGTACCCCTTGAATTTATACAAATAATAGATAAATAAGTGACACGGCCCCCAAGCATGATACTGAAGTTCTACCTGGTGTCCCTATGGCATGAGAGGGCTGTGATGTGCTTTGCAGGGACAATAACTAACGTGTGTCCCATAAGCTTCATTTGAGCACGAGTTACAGGGGCTGTGGGCCGTGAGTTTGATGCTAATCGATCGACTGTATCAAACAAGGTGTCTTTCAACAGAAACACACAAAAAGCAAAGGGATGTATTGATCGGCTCATGAAAGTTTTGTGACCAGAGGCTGGCAGGAACCTAGCCCTGTAGGTTCCCTCGTTGGGAGGATGGCTCAGTGTTGGCGAACTCCGAGATGGGGCAAGTTTATGGACCATGCCTCTTGGCGATGATGAAAATCGACTGCATTCTGTGCACCTGTTCTCCCAAAAAGGCGGATATTGTCCAAATCTCCCTGGGTTAGTTCCAGAGCCTTCTCAGTATGGAGAACAGGGGAGGTCACATGTTTCCTATAGATGTCGCCTAGTTGGGACCGCCTTACCTATTCTGGGGCCTTGCCAGGTGCCTGTCCCAGGCCCCCTGCCCGCCACCCTCTGGGTGACCTCATAGTTCTGACTCTCCCCTTAACACAGATGAGCCAAACTAAACCTCCAGCCCAGACCTCTCTCCTTAACCCCCAGTTCATTTCAAACTAAAGGCCAAATGTAATGTGCTCACTTGGTGTCCCAGAGACAAGTGAAACCAAATATACCCTGAACTAAGATTGTCATCAACTAACTGTGCCCCCAACACCTGCTGCTCTGCCCGTTTGCCAATCTCCACCCATCTCTGCCCCAGCCTGGGCTTGGGGGGAGGGATACATGCTACAGGAGGGGGGAGGGACTTGTCTAACCCCATCTGTTATTTGAATCAACTTCAGGGAACTGTGGTGTGGCTGGTCCCTCCACTCCAGAGCCTGCCCCTGCATGTACCCCCCTCTCTGCCACCAGCCAGACACCTGGTCCATTAACATTCCCTCCATCCCATCCCATCCTCTTTCTCGCCTCTCTCCCGCCATTCTCCAATGCCGTCTGGACTTCGCCCGCTAAATCATTTTCAAGTTTACCCTCTTTCCTCTAAAACCTTCCCAAATCATCACCTCCGTTTCATCTGTACGAAATCCACTTTCCGGCTCACGAAGCCGGGTGTCAAACTCTGGCGGACATTTTTATCACTAAGTACCCGGTGGGGTGGGGAGGTTGCAGGTTAAAATGCAGATTCCCGGGCAACCTCCCAAAATCGTGTGGCAGAGTCCCGGGATCTGTATGATTTCATGGGCAATTTCAGATGCCGATGCCAACGAATCCTCGAGACTCGGCTCCCCTCTCGCTGCCCCCAGGAAGCCTCCACCCACCCCCTGGGCCGGTCACCCACGCTGCCCCCAGCACCCCATTGGCACGTCTGAGCCTAAGTCTATCAGACAGACATCGCTTCTGGGGCTGACTTCCCAGGGACACTACAAACTCTCCGGGGCAAGATCTGTGTCCCTGATCTGTACCCTCGGTGCCCAGGGCAGTGCCTGGTACACAGTAGGTACTTAATCAATGCAAACAGAACTGAAGGAAATTCTGGGAATTCACGTAGACGCAGGAATTTTACAGAGAGAACAGACAGTTCCAGGGATGGCCACATGTCCCCAGAGGCAGGAGGGTGCTTGAGGGAGGGAAGGCACCTCCTTGTGCTGTGGGACAGAGTCCAGCACTAACATGGCACCATACTCAGCACTGCACATGTATTGAGCACCTACTGTGTTTCAGCGCTGTAAGTCAGTTTACGTACGTGAACTAATTTTCAATCAGAACTTCTCTATGAGGTTGTCTTCGCTCCATTGTACAGAGATGGGCACTGAACTCTAACCCTAACCCTAACCCTAACACCTAATACTAACCCCTAACCCTTAACCCTAACCCTTAACCCTAACCCTAACCCTTAACCCTAACCCCTAACCCTAACCCCTAATCCTAACCCTAACTCCTAACCCTAACCCCTAACCCTTAACCCTAACCCCTAACCCTCACCCTAACCCTAACCCCTAACCCTAACCCTAACCCTAACCCCTAACCCTAACCCTAACCCTAACAGATGGGAGGTTAGAACCCAGGTCAGTCATTTTCCAAAGCCTGTGTCACCCACCCCCCAACTCCTACCCCCGAGCTGACCTGTGTCACGCACTGTCCGCACCCCGAGTGGCGGACAGACTTTCTCTAACGTGGTGAACGGCAGGAAGGGGCAGAAGGGGAAAGAATCTCTCAATCACTCCCCACCTCTGTGGACACCCTGTTCGCACGCCACCGGCTTCGCACTCTGTCCCCAACTGTCCCTTGCGAGAGGGGACCCCAAGAGGTAAAGCAGAGAAGAGACAAGCTTATTTCATTACTGTTTCCGTGTGTGGCTCTGTCACCCTGTGCCCCCCAACCCCCACCCCGTGTTAGAGGAAGACGGGGACAAGCTTACCGGGCAGCCGGATGGGCTTCCACGGGGCGGAGTTGGGCACGTAGGCGTGCTTCGTGGCCGTGACGATCAGCTGGCTGCCCAGCTTGTACTGGAACTTGATGAAGGCGACGCCATCCGCCCCCGAGGTGCCGGACGCGATGGAGACCTGGTTGGTGAAGACCTCGATGACGGCGTCCGCCACCGGCTGGTGGGTGCTGGAGTCGCTGACGTGCACCTTCAGCGTGACCTCTGGACACGGGAGGGAGTGACAGAGAAGAGCTGCCGTGAATCGGCCACGATTGTGGCGGGGGTGGGTTTGAAGGTTGGGCGTGCTAGGAAAACCTAGATCCCCGCCGGAAACAGGAATGATTTCAATCTGGGACATTCTCTCTCCTTGGAGGTCTCTGTTCACGTCACACGATTTCCTATTGTCATCAAAGCAGAGTCCCAAACCGCTTCCCTCTTTGCTCCTTCCTGCTCTCACCGACAAATAATTGAGGGAAAAATTCTACCCCTTTAGGACAGCGGGCGACAGACACAACACCCGTCCAACAGGGTCCGCGCTGCAGCAGAGGGGACCGGCAGGCCCAGGGAGTTGCAGCCGTGTGCGACGTACTGGCACACGCGGACAGAAGTCACTCGGGACTGTGCCTCTGGCCATCGAGGAGACAAGAGTGAAAATCGGTGAGAGCTATGTATCTTTAAAGGGAGGACCCCCAGAGTGGGGTGGGCGATTGTTCATCCTCTCTCCAGGCCTCAGTGTTCCCATCTGTAAACTGGGAATGACAACAATGCACATCTCAACATACAGGTGGGAACATTTAGCATAATATGCCTGGCAGCAGAGTAAGCACCAACTAGAGCTACTGCCCCGAGATTTTTCCGATCATGATGCTTGCAAGCGTTCTGCGTTGGGGTTCAAGGGTGCCAGGAGAGGAGCTCAGAGAAACGAGTCAGGGGGGAGAAAAGTGAAACACAAGAGGGCCAGACAGCCCTCTCTAAGAGTATTAATACCTTCATATCCAAAGTTCAGTCCTACACCGGGGTTTGGGTTGAGAACCTCCACCGTGGTAACTTGCCAACTATTTCCCTATTTCAACTATTATATAATTAAAGCAGCCTTTTCAATATCACAGATTTCAGTTAGTCATTTTCTCACCCATTTTTTTCCCGTGCTGATTTAATAAATTTCTTGAGATGACCACAGAGAACAGCTAAACAATCCCAGACTGTGGAACTATAGATTGCACCTAACAAGTCTCCCAAAACCTTTTAGAAAGAAAAAAAATTCATGCTACAAAAAGTAAACTTGGCTACTTCAAACCATAGGAGGAGGAAACTAGTAGCAAACAAGGGATAAACCAACATCATGAAAATCAAGGATGTGATATTTGAATGCAGACCTGTAGGACATACACCCACACACATTTTATATATATATATATATATATTTTTTTTTAATTACTATGGGTACATAATAGTTGTATCTCTTTATAGGACACGTGTGATGTTTTGATACAGGCATACAATGTGAATCAATGAAATCCGGGTAATTGGGGTATCCATCACCTCAGGCATTTATCATTTCTTTGTGTTAGAAACATTCCAATTCCACTCTTTTAGTTATTTTAAAGTAGTGTTATTATTGATTATAGTCACTTTGTTGTTCTATGAAATATTATTCCTTGTATCTAACTCTATTTCTGCATCCATTAACCATTCCCACTTTATCCACCCTGCCCCTTCTACCCTTCCCAGCCTCTGGTAACCATCATTTTATTCTCTGTCTCCATGAGATCAATTGGTTTTATTATTTAGCTCCCATATAGGAGTGAGAACATGTGAGATTTGTCTTTCTGTGCTTGGAAGATAATCTCCTCCAGTTCTGTTCTTTTTGCTTAGGACGGTTTTGGCTATTCTGGGTATTTTGTGGCTCCGTATAAATCTTACGATTATTTTTTCTATTTCTGTGAAGAATATCATTGATATTTCGAAGGGGATTGCATTGAACCTGTAGATTGCTTTGGGTAGCGTGGACATTTTAACAATGTTGATTCTTCTAATCCATGAGCATGGAATATCTTTTCATTTTTTTGTGCCCTTCTCACTTTCTTTCATCTTTCAGTGTTTTATAGTTTTCACGATAGAGATCTTTCACGTCTTTGGTTATGTTTATTCCTAGGTATTTTATTTTATTTGGAGCTACTGTAAATGGGGTTATGTACCTGATTTCTTTTTCAGATTGTCCACTGTTGGCATATAGAAACACTACTGATTTTGTATGTTGATTTTGTATTCTGTAACTTCACTGAATTTGTTTATCAGTTCTAGCAGTTGTTTTTTTGTGTGGAGTCTTTAGGTTTCTCTACATACAAGATCATATCATTTACGAACAAGGATAATTTCACTTCTTCCTTTCCAATATTTGGATGCCCTTTGTTTATTTCTCTTGTCTGACTGCTCTAGCTAGAACTTCCAGTATTATGTTGAATAACAATGGTGAAAATGGGCATCTTGTCTTGTTCTATCTCTTAGAGCAGGGGTCCTCAAATTTTTTAAACAGGGGGCCAGTTCACTGTCCCTCAGACCGTTGGAGAGTGCGCACTGTGGGCCCGGGACGAGTCGGCTGCTAAGCTGGACAGGCAGCAGTGGCAAAAACACCTGGAGGGCTGGATAAATGTGCTAGGTGGCCTGCATGTGGCCCTTGGGCCATAGATTGAGGATGCCTGTCTTAGAGGAAAGGCTTTTAGTTTTTCCCTATTCAGTATGATACTTGCTGTGGGTCTGCCACATGTGGCTTTTATTGCATAAGTTCCTTCTATATCCAGTTTTGGGAGAATTTTTAACATGAAGGGATGTTGGATTTTATAATGCTTTTTTAGCATCAGTTGAAATGATCATATGGTTTTTGTCCTTTGTTTTGTTGATATGATGCATCACACTGATTGGTTTGTGTAAGTTGAACCATCCTTGCATACCTGGGATGAGTCTTACTTGATCATGATGGATAATCATTTTAATGTGTTGTTGAATTTGCTTTGCTAGTATTTTATTGAGGATTTTTGCATTTATGTTCACCAGAGACACTGACCTATAGTTTTCTTCTGTTCACACACACATTTTCTTACTTAACTTGGTCTTCCTCATCCACAAGTAGTAGGCTGAATTATAACATAAATTACCCCAGCTTTCATTAACATTCACATAGCAGAAATTCTTCATCGATGATTATGTAATTTTATGGTAATGTAACATTTACCAACAATTGGGATTATAACATTTCTGTTCTCTCGTCACGGTTTGCTGAGAAGGCAAAAGCTACTGATATTTGGGAAAAAAAGATTTACAAATCAACGGAGAAAGAGGGAGCTTCACTCTAATCAACATCTTAGATTCTACCACTTGAGTTTCTTCTAATACAGGAAGCCTAGTCTATAGTCTGCAACATACTTTGCAAGAGATTACTTAGTTCCTTCGTTTGGTGTGATGAGGTAGAACAAAATGTCAATATGGTTAGGTGATTCTTACAGAGCATGGGGGTGTCATTTTTATAGAATAACACTTCAAATGAGAAGCTCCCTTCAACAGCAAACAAAACTATTCCCACTAAACGACAACCAGGGGAGTGATCTTATGACTAGGTGAAACACTAGTTACTAACGCTACTCTCATTTACAGGAAGACCCCTAATGGGTCCTAGACCCAAATGTGCGTGAAGATGCACCATGTCTCTTTGCTGGTGGTTGAGTTGGGGGCCCTAAATACCGTATAATCCGAAACTGGCACGTGATGGTTTCACTCCCACCCCTGCACATCCTCCACCAAGTTCTGCTCATTTTCATTCCAAACTCCACATCTCAGAGCAGCCCTTTCCTCTGCATCCTTGTTAACACTTCCCTATTGTCATGTCTTCACCACCCATCACCTGAACTGCCACTTGGTCTTTGCACAAAAACTGTCACCTTCTTTGGACCTGAGCTCCGAAATCCCACTGAAGCCAGAGGGAGCTATCTATTAATAAGACACTCAGCTGACCTCTCCCTGGAGCCTTTTGTACCAGTGGAGCCATGTACCAGTGGTGGCAACTGCAGCCCAGCCCTTAGGCCGAATGGGGCCTGCTGCCTGCTTTTGTGCAGTCCCTGAAAATTACCTGGAATTCCATTTCGGTGCCCCTAAATAAAGTTGTATTAGGACACAGCCACACCCAGTCACTTGCACGCTGTCTATGGGCTGGGTGTGCATTGCAAAGGTGGCGTTCAGGAGCTGTCACAGAGGCCATATGGCCTGCGAAGCCTCAACTGGGTCTTTTGGGTCCTTTGAAGAAAAAGGTGCCACTGCTGAGGGGCAGCGTCCATGCCAGGCACCCTGGTCCCCAATCCCACCGGTGCCACCTGGCTCCACGCACTGCCCTGGCGCCTCCTTCCTGCTGTTTCTGCTCCTCTTTGAAGGAAACGCTTTTCTCCAAGTCCCCTTTCAGGTGGCTAATTCCTATTCCATACAAGTCCTAGGTGAGGCCGGTTCAGGAAACTGCTCCTGAGTGAATGGCCAGCCCTTCGCTCCCCCAAAGCTCTCCCTGCACATGGACTCTGCCCCTCTTCCTCTTCTACTTCCATCTGTCGCATGGCAGGCAGACCGTGGGGGTGTACGGTGGAGACCAGTCCCTTGACCTGGAGGAGGTCTGAGCTTTGAGGCATCTGGTTTTGGGGCAGCAGGGGTGTCCCTGGAACGGTCACACCACGTGGCTCCACCATGGTTCCAGCTGCGAGCCTCGGCTTTCCAGAACTTTCGTGAGCAACCCCAAGCTTGAATAAATGTCCCATTAAGCCAGCTAGAGCGGGCAGAGCTCTTCGTCCCCCTCGGGTTTTGTGTCATCCTGGCACAGCTATGTGGCCTCCTGGAAACTGCACTCTTACCCAGTGGGCCACTTCGCCATCAGGAATGCAGATGTCGCCTCTAGAGCCTTCTTGGATTTTCATCGGCCAGCGGCAGAGCCAAGAAGGAAGAAACAAGCACCCAGGAACTCTCCCTGCGCCGTGATTCAGAGCTCCCTCTGCTCTTGGCACACACGAGGCTGTGGCTCTGCGGGCACAAACGAAGTAGTACAAAGAGCATCTGCTCTGTGGGTAGAACACCAAACATCTCCTTTGGAGTCCAGCATTATCTTTCAGTCATTTCCTTCCCAAATGCCACCAATTTAGAACTAAATGCAACAAGCCTGTTTCAAATTGTTGGCTTGGGAGAAGCCACCT